AGTTAGATAACGGCGATCAGGAATTTAATTAAAAAAAGATTTATTTATTACTAGGTGTTTACTTAGTGAATTATCCTACAAGACTAACTTATAATTAATTATATTAATAAAATAACATAATGCTAAATATGCACTTTAACTTCTACTCATCATTATGCAATTTGATCGGCTTCATCAGCAATCGGTTTAGTGGTGGTACGGGCTGATCGATTGCTTAATTCCTCCCTCCCTAAGCTGGAAGCGAGTCCCGCAGCTTCCTGTAGCGTCCTCGCTACTTGTACTCTCCGATTGAATCTGCTCTGTGGGTCTGGTGTCTGCTGGTTCTCGGGATGCTTGTAGTCTGCGTTGCCTCCATTGGTATAATTTCCAAGTTATGGTTCCGGTGAGGATGAAGTAGAGTCCAAGCGTCGTGAAGCTGGGTGTAGCCATCGTGGTTCTCCAGTCTAGGTCGTCTTCGTACAGGATATCCTCTGCACGATCCATCAACTCATGGATGTTGTCTAATGCAATATCTTCTAGCTGTAGATTGTAGTGGATACTCTCCTCTGGTATAAGTGATCCACTTGGTAGCGGGATGATTTCATCTATGGTTATGGCGTCTGTGTTTGTTTTCAGTGTTCTATTAAGGATCTCAAGCTGACAGTCACTTGATATGGTGGCTATCTGGATACCCGAGATCTTCTTATATTCCGTCTTCAATCCACAATGACTTCTAAGGATTTCTTCGTCCTTTAGTATTATCAGCCATTTATTGTCTTCGATTTTCTGGGCTAACCCTCGCTTGAGATTCATTCTGGCTCGTGTACAGTTGGCCGTCTGGTGCTTGACTAGTGATATTATGCAGTCTTCAGATTTATCCAGGGGTTGAGTGTTGAGTGATGTGCACAGATGGGTGTCTTGGGTGATCTTCTTGCAGCTTTCGTCCAGGTAAGAGTACTCCTCGCTACCCAGTGCTAGGTATTTGGACTTGGGGATTATGGTAAGGTTTTGTTTATCGGGGATGGAATATATGTGGATTAGGTCAAATGTGTTAGCATCGACAGAAGGTATTACTAAAATAAATGTCAATGTGTGTTCTGTGCTGTACGCTTTTACGGTAATAGACTTTTCAATATTATGAATATTTTTCATATTAATGCTATCTACTGCTTTAAAGTTATTAGATTTCTGCATGTTTTGGATTTCCTCTATTAAGATCTGGGGTGCTATTATACTTGGATGCATTACGCCTAACTGTGCAAAAGTTATCGCATCTTCTAAAACTATGAGCTTATCTAAAAGAAGCTGTAAACTAAATTCTATTTGTATATATAAATCTAAGAAGTGCATGCGATTTAAAACTAGATTATTACTAATAGTGGCATTCTTCAATAAATTACCTAGTTTTTTCTCATTTTCATTTATGACCTGTATTTGTTTATTAAATTCACCTACTGTATTTTCGGCTAAAAATAAGGACTTTTTCTGTGAATTTTGAATTTTACTAACAGAATGACGTAGACTGCTTATCTCATTTTCAAATTTAACGGCATCTTCGTAATCTAAATTTCCAGTAATTGCTTTGACAACAGATCCTAACCCATTTATTATGCCACGCTTAACTCTATTATGGGGTGCAATAAACATAATTTTCTTACCGATTAAATTAAGACTAAATTCTATTTGATCCTTGTATGTCCTATAGTGGATATCGTTGCTACCAGGTGTTAGACTATTCTCGGCGCTTTTGGTACTAGCATAGAGTGAGATAATCCGAGATGTGACTTCATGTAAGTACGTCACATTATATGTACAGGCCAGAGCAAAAGTGTCGACCTGCTTAAGGATTTGACCTTGTTTAAGTAGCAACACTCCATTGTCATTATTTACTGGGTTAAGGGTCAAGTTGGCTGCTGCGCTGAGCACACAGGCTCCTGCGATGAGGGTCCTGGAACAAGATGGGGTCTTCGTAGAAGCTTATAATGTACCCTAATAGATTTTGAGTTGGGATGGTTGCCTATAATTTCTGCAACGTTATTAGGATGGAGATGGATTATTTTGTATGGGCCTTTAAATACAGGCTTCGTCTTGTCGTTGCGCGCCGTCTTAGCAACCTGCTTATAAACTATTTCACCTACCTTGAAGGTGATCTCTTCTGCAGCCTGGTTGCGCTTTGCTATTACCTGTTCTTTGTTCCTAGACATGTGAGCCGCTAGGCACTCCTGTACAGCCTCAGCGTTTTTACGATGTTTAAGAACATAGTCCTGGTAGAATTCCTTTGGATAAAATAATTCTAAGGGGTTTCGGGAAGCAGTGTGCCCAAATAATAGTTCTCTTGGTGTATAGCCCGTTACAGAGTGAATTGAGTTGTTATAGGCTATGACCGCATAGTTCATTATTTGTTGAATTGGGTCGTCTTTATTGGTCATTCTTTGTATTCTTATAATCTCACCAATGGTTGAATGGAATCGTTCAATGGGAGAGTTAGAATTTGGATTATACGGTGTCGTAAAATGGATATTAATATCGTGTGAAGCACATATTTCTTTAATTACGTCATTATCGAATTTAGTATCTGAATCGGTTGTTATTTTTAAAGGTAGACCTAGTACTGAAAATGCTTGAATTAGAGCTTCTGCAATGTGTACACTACTTGCGGCGTTTAAAGGTATGGCTTGAGCAAATTTTGAAAAGTTGTCTATTATGGTTAGGAATGTAGCACCTCCAGTAGAATAGAGATCCATGAATAGATGCTCCAGGGGTTTAGAGGGAGTTTGTGTTAGAGCTAGTGGGGGTTTTAGGGGATTTCTTTCATATTTAGTTTTTAAACAAATATCGCACTGGTTGATGTATCTTTGTACTGATAGTAACATATTAGGCCAGTGATAGTTCCTATGGAGTTGCTTATGTGTCTCTTGAATACCGCGATGCGATGTTTTGCCTTCGTGGTACCGTTTAATAAGCTGTTGCTGCTCTGTTTTGTTCTCAACTAAAGTAACACGAGAACTACATCTTATTAGTTTCGGTCCTCTATCATTGAAAATGGTCGTGTATACCCTTGAAAAAGCCAAATATAGATGTTCTTCGTAAAAATAGCAATGAAAAACACGATCTGCTATTGTGTGTTCTTTGAGGAACCTAATTATCTCTGCTTCTGTGTTATTTATAGGAATAAATACGTCTTTGATAACGATCCTAGTGCTAGTCGACCTATTTTCAACTCTATACTCCGAACCTGGGGTCGATCTTATGTGAAACTGTTTGAGTTGTCTGTCAATAGCATCTGATAAAGTCGGAATACCTACGTTATCATTATCAGGTTGCGTATGTTTGGTGGAAACCAGTTGGTCGGGTTCAACAGTCACAACACTCATTTGGTCAGCATCTGTCTGTTCAGTCTTGCCACTTTCAGATGGTACGTCTTGGTTCATTTCACTATGTTGATCGCTATCGTTATTGGTTTGGTTGTCATTGTTGGTGTCCCTATTATCATTATTATTGTCTCTATTGTCGTTTTGTTGCATTGCCGCTTCCCTACGAGCGTTTTCAAAAATTCTGTCAATTATGCCGTCGTCGTAATTATCGTCAAAGTTTACGGCGAGGGAGTCCATACTATTATGATAGATTTTTGCCCTAGATAGAGCATCCGCATTTGTGTTCTGTCTGCCCTTTTTATAAACTACCTTATAATCATATTCAGCGAGTTTAAGCCTCCAGCGTGTTAATTTAGAATTTGGGTCTTTTAAAGACATAAGCCACATCAAAGGTCTGTGGTCAGTGTAAATCGTAAATTTTCGGCCATATAAGTACGGCCTAAAGTATTTAATGGCCCAAACTATGGCCAGTAGTTCCTTCTCTATTGTTGAATACCTAGCCTCTGTATCTGATAAGGTCCGAGAGGCAAAGGCTACAGGTTTGTCCGATCCAACGTTTCCCTGAGATAGGACTGCACCTATTGCTACGTCGGAGGCATCTGTTGTCAGAATGAATGGCTGGTCAAAATCTGGATATTGTAAGAGTGGAGCATTGGTTAAAATCTGCTTACATTTGTTTACAGCATCTACAAATTCTTCAGTGTGAACTACCTTAGCATACTTTTTTAAGCAAATTGTTAAAGGCTTAGTTAATTTTGCGAAGTCTTTAATGAACTTACGGTAATAACCGACTAATCCTAAGAAAGACTTGATATCTTTTTGATTACTAGGTAGGGGAAAATCTAATACGGCCTTGATCTTATCCTTATTAGGTTTTAGACCTTGGTCTGTAAGTTCATGTCCTAGGAAGTTCACCTGCTTTTGCAAGAATTCGGATTTGTCTAACTGTATCTTTAGATTATGTACTTTGAAGCGTTCGAACACTAGTTTTAATTTTTCTATATGTTCCTGTAATGATGTAGACACAATAATGACGTCATCTAGGTACGTAAACACATTATCTATTCCCCTTAAAATGTGGTCCATAAGACGCTGAAAAGTACTGGGGGCATTCTTCAGGCCAAAAGGCATCCGAAGGAATTCATAATGCCCTCTTTCTGTTGTAAAGGCAGTCTTTTCAATGTCATTAGGATGCATTTCTAATTGATGGTACCCACTCGCAAGGTCAAGTGTCGTGAAGTACTGTGCCCGTCCTAGTCTGTCCAGTATGTCATGTATATTAGGAAGAGGGTATTTGTCTTCAATTATGCGGTCATTCAATCGTCTATAGTCGATGACTAGCCTCCACTTAACCTTTCCAGACGCATCTGCTTTTTTGGGCACGATGTGTACCGGACAGGACCACGGAGATATGCTTTCTCTTATAATCCCTTGTTTTAAAAGATTATCTACCTGATTTTGTATTTCTTTGCGCTGTTTGGGAGCCTGTCTATAACTTCTAACAAAGATAGGAGTGTCGTCCGTTAATCTGAGTTCGTGCTTGACCGTGTGCGTGAATGACAGAGGAATATTTTCTGAATGAAAAATGTCCCGATAATTATAACACAATTTAGTTATTTCCCGCCTTTCCTCTTCATTCATATGGTCCGTGCGAATTTTATTTAAATTCTGTTTCAGTTCCTGATCTATGTTTTCATCGACGCTTAGTTTATTTAAACTACAGACTTTAGAATTTTCTATTAAACCTTGTGGTATGGGTTCTAGTAACAAAGGGCGGTTATTCATTATTAATTTTTTTTCGTCGCTGTAATTAATAACAGAGGTTTTAAACGTGCCGTTTTTAACTGTGATTACCGCTGCTGGTGATTGAAGATCTTTAGTCCAACAGT